GTTGTAATCATTGTCTGAATGCCTCATGCCCATATACAAAAATGAAACAAAATTCTAAGTTAAAATGACAAGGAGCTTCAGGTGGATCCTGCGTTTACCTGGTGTACAAAAATTGAAAACAATAAGAATTATGATGTTAAATATAATACAAACATTCATTCCTACAGTAGATTCCTTCATCTTGTCACTTTTCTTTCCTTTTCTTGAAATATTTGAAAACAGTCAGAATACTTCTTCCCTATTTTCCTTGCTTGGAGGGTTTCCAAAGTCAACTTACTGAATGCAAGTCATCTGAATAGGAAATATATTATCAGGAAGCAAAATATGAAATCTGAATGCTCACATACATCTTTCTTCTAATTATAGTAATAATTTAGGAATCCATTCTAAGGTTACGCAAAACTACTACTTTCTGACATTCTGTTTTTCAGATCCATGCTGTTCCCGGGGTTAATCTGTCCAATCATGGAGTTCAAGGAATTGGAACTGGGACATCTTGTACGTCAAACGTTTAGTTTTTAAATTTCCTGGTAGTAGTTGCTCAAGTGTGACTGTAGTTGAGAAGAAGGTTGCTAATGTGTGCCATGTTCTTCAGTTGCAACAGCAATAAAAAGAGTCCTGTGGAATGTTAATAACTAACAAATACATTATGTCATCATCAGCTTGTATAGATGGTTACTCATGACCCTGGATACATAAAATATTATTGGGACAAGGAAGATTCAGCAAACAAAGAAGGAAAGGGACAGGAGAAAAAGAGGGGGGAAATGTAAAATATAGAAGATGCAATCAATAAATTATTTAAAGATGAAGGCCATTAAAGCCCATGGCACAGGTATTCTAGTACTGCTGACTGATGTAAATACTTGGCTGCTTATTTAGATAATAATGGTCAAAGTCATAATTTAGCTCAATTGCTTAGCCTTGACATTGGTCACTTCATTTCCCTCTGCTAAAGAATCTCTGTTTGAAAGTCAAAGATTTCTAACATATCTTGTATGGTTTTTGAAGAAAAAGGAATTGAAATTATAATTTATTGCCAAGAATTAATCCTCAGAAAATTAAAACTGTTGTTTAACAACTAAAGCTTACAGACAATCTGGATGAAGCATATGAATTTTGCCTTAACATTCATAAAGGGTAAGGTGTCCAGTTTGTTTGACAGGTTCAAACATGGCTAGAGATTTGACCCAGAATGGCATGGGTCTTTATTGAACACCAGGATAGAAGGCATTTCAAAACTGGTTTTGTGATGTATTGATCCAGATGCTGATTCTTTATATGTATCACATTTGTATTTTATTATTGTATTTTCTTTTGTGTATTTTACCGTGGAATTATATTCTGTATTTTATTTTTATTTCTGTGATATGATCATAAGAATAATCAATTAATAAACTACTACTGCTGCTGCTTTCTGACAAGGCTAGCACCCACATCTTATACCCTCTTAGTTTTAAGTCATGACTTTTTCTTGATAACCTTTTTGTGGCTTAATGAAACACCTTACTCAGTGTTAGTTTCATGGCTTAATGAAAACCTTTCTTTTGATGTTTTCAGAATTCTTTTCCTAGAAATCTCTAGCTCCCAATGAATCTCCCATATAAAACCATTCTCAAAATGCAAGCTTTTCAATATAAGCAATGACATTGAAAATATGTGGGCCACAATTAGTTCAATTTTCATAATCTGCTAGCATTTTAAGGGCATCTACTTGAACTAAAAGGGAAATGTAGGTTTTTTGCACTCTACATTTTAAACTGTGGTTAGATACGTAATGCAGTCTTTCTGCATGGAAGTTTGCACAAGCCATTAAAGTGCATTTAAAATGAGCTGCAAATTATTTATGGAATATATATATTTCTCCATTTCTTGACTTGATTAATGCATCTGTATTGCAGAGCACGAAAGCCATGTTCTCTAAAACAGGTGTTACAACTGGCCTTTGAAAAATGTCCCTTATCGGTTGTTTGGCAAATGTCAATTAATCTCTATAATGCCCTGGGACTATTTTTCAATTGAACACATCATTTTTCCTTCTCTATGGTGATTCTAATTCATCCGGGTCTTGGTTATCACAAAGGCGCTTTTTCAAAAAACAACTGGACTTTCATATTTTTTTTCTTGAAGACATTTTCACTCCTCATCCAAGAAGCTTCTTCAGTTCAGAGTCAGAACTGAAGACATTTCTTGGATAAGAAGTGAAATGTCTTCAAGGAAAAAGCAAAGAAAGTCCAGATGCCTTTTGAAAAAGCACCCTTGTGACATTTTCCTATCTCCTTCTCCTTCTCTTTCCATCATTCTATGCCTGGGGAGGAGTACCTATATTGTCTACTTCTACATAGCAAATTCAGAACTCTGAAGAAATTCCTTGGTCTCCCCCAAAATTAAAATATCACTAAATTGTTCTGAGAATCTCATAACATTATAGAGCTGCAATGTTCAATGTAATTCAATGCTACATTATAGGATTAGGAATCTGGGTAAAAGAAGAATCTTGCAGATTGGATTGGCATCCTTGGTGCTCTCTGAGCTTGGTTGTTTTCGTGCAGATGTTTCATTACCCAATTAGGTAATATCATCAGTGCTAGAAGGGAATGGAATTTGGTTTCTCTTTATATATAAGTGTTCAAGCAGTAAACAATGCCACAATCAAGGAACTACCAGCTCAAACAGTAAACAACCAGGCTTTAGAGAGCGCCAAGTACTCCAGGTTCCATCCTGACCTACAAATATTCTGTTGAGATTGCATTGGCTTGACACTTAGAGATTGGGGCCACATACCAAAGGCCGGTGGAACCAAAACTGAAAGAACATGGAGACAGTGTGATTCTCCTTGTTGAGATACTCTTTGTTGCTTCAAGTCCATGGTTCTAATATTCAGAAGAAGCCTCAGAATCTGTATTGCCACAGTCAGCTGCTAGAACTGCAAGTTGAGTTGATCAGAATAATATGAAGTGAAGCAAAAAGGCAGAGGAGAGCGAACAGTGCTCCACGCAAACCTATGTCAAAGTGAAGTGCCCTTTCAAAGCTTGGCACCACTGTATTAGGAAACAGAAAAGCACATATAGGCAATACTACTACTACTACAGACATGTTGGGAGCATCAGGTTGAAATGGTGACATCACCGTTCCATGGGAGATGCCAGGTTGGGGGCTCTTTTTATGTCCCTATTGAATTGCCCACCAAACTGCTACCCATTTCTAAGATAGCGACACCTGGATCGGCTGGGGCTTGCATTGGCTCTCGAAGGTAAAAATTTTTTGGAGGGATATAAGGGATCTAGGCCACATGATCGGGAAGATTTTAACATGTTTGAGCAATGTGATGTGACTAAGGTAACATACGACTGACAATCTTTGCTAGGTATGGCCAGGTTTTAGCTGTTTCGGAACTGTTGGTGAGACCGTTAAAAGTCATTTGCGCTGTTTGAAATTGTTCTGCTGGCAGCAAGATCTGGCTGCTGGCCCAGTGAGGGATTCTATTGCAAATCAGGGCTGCTTCCAAAGGAGGCAGAGGAGGAGCGGTCCTGGGGCTTATGGAGTGAAGGAACTGGATGAGGCTGTCAGCAGACCTAGAGGAAGGGAGAGAGGCTTTTGGAGGAGTTGGAAGTGGTGGCAGCAGCCAGCAGCGTTCTCCAGGGGCAAAAAGGAGCAAGACCTCTTTAAGGAAAAGGTGGAAGAGACAGGATCAGAAAAAGAAAAGGAGGCAAGGTTGTTGTGCAGGAATACAAGCTAAATTGAGGGCTAATCCACATGGAGCTCCATTTCCATCTTCCTGTTTGCCATCGTTTGCGCTCTAGAGACTAAAATGGACATTCTGAAACTTGATCTGGCCACAGACAAGGAGTGTATATCGGAGGTGGTGACCCTTTGAGAGCTGTATGCAACGAAATTTCATTTTGATGTATGCCAATTGGTGTACATTCAAAGTGACAATAAAGTTATTATTGTTGTTGTTGTTATTGTTGTTGTTAATCTACTTGCAGTCACCTACTTTTGAACTGCTAGGTTAGCAGAAACTGGAGCAGGTGACAGGAGCTCACCCCGACTCACAGCAGCAACCAGGCCTCAAATGCAACCCTGCCAATTGTTAGTCCAGCATCCTAACCTTGTGAGCCACGGTGCTCCATAGCTATTTGGTAAACAGAGAAGTCTCACCATCAGCGCCACAACCATTTACAAGATCATGGTTATGTCTTAAAATTCCAAATATCCCCACCAGATTAAAAGCATTGGAAATTCCCTCTAAAACAACTGAAGAATTGTGCCAAAGGTTACTGCACAACTCTTGCAGTCTAAATAAATGACTAGACAAACTGTCACAGACTAAATTGCCGAAGTGATTACTGTAGTTCAGATTATGAAACAATATTATTACTTTGATGTAAATGAAGGTGTTGAAGCAGACACAGAAAACAATAAGTGGATTTTTTTTTTCCAAATCTCCAAGAAGCTTCATTTCTGATTGTACAGGTAGCCTTTGATTTACAACAGTTCACTTAGTGACTTATGACCATTTTTTCGCACTGATGACTATTGCAGCATCCCCATGGTCAAAATGATACATTCAGATGTTTGACAACTGACTGACATGTGTCCCAGATCATGTGATCCCTTTTTGCAACATTTTGACAAGCAAAGTCAATGGGAAACCAGGTTCACTTAACAACCATGTTACAAACAACTGCAGTGATTCACTTAACAACTGTGGCAAGAAAGGTTGTAAAATGGGGCAAAACTCACTTAACAAATTTCTCCCTTTGCAACATAAATTTTGGGCTCAATTGTGGTCGTAAGTCAAGGATTACCTATGCTCTAAAGATACAGTATTATTATCTTCTACATTCAAGTTAGCTAGTAAATTGTTGGGATTATTAATATTCATTCATTTTACTAGGTGTTAATCATCTTGAAGCCTTTATCTAGGAGAGGGATTAAAATATTTTAATTACAGAAATAAACAGTAATTAGAGTATAAAAAATGAAATCAGAAATACCTTTATTCACTATATGTATTTATCCAGTTGTTCAAATGTTTGCAGGAAAAAACAGAATACACATTAAATATCAATAGAATCAGTGTCAATCATCTATAACAATATAACATTGATTATCACGAGGAATCTGAACAGGATTTAGACCAGATCCTTTATGTCAGTTAACTCATGTCTGAAGCACTTATGATGCTGATGGGGTTTTTTATTATTATTATTTAAGAATTGTGGAATCCGTTCCGTGCAATCAGAGTTATTTCTTTAAATTGTTTTCTTTTCTATATTCTTTCACTCCCAATATTTCTGTGGCCCTCTGCAGCTTGCTGTTAACTTTTCCTGGACAATTATGATTAGGAGCATCTGAAATAAAACCCTTTGCAAGCATTTGTTCAAATGCCCTACATAAGACTTCCCTATATCTGCTAAAAGCACTTTGGGAAGCCTCTTATGTGAAGCCGTTGCCAGACTCTGCAAAAAGCTTTTCATGAAATTTCAATCTGCTGTCTTCTTTCATAAGATTGCTGCGCTTTGTGCTCAGTGGGGCAAAAATTTAGGAGGAGAACTGGGCTTTAGAGTCGAAGAGATGAAAAACACCCACCCCGAGACTTTACTATAAATGATATAATTGCATTGACAGCTAGTGTTAGAGCCCACCTCTATAGATCAGGAAAAGGAGTCACAGCCATTAGACCTACCAGCCGTACCACCTAGAAGATAATGGAAGGGATATTGGCAGAAGCTCTTAGCAGGAAGCAGGGTTTCCTACCTGAATCCAAAAGTAGCATTAAAGTGTTCTGTTCCCTTTAACCTTCATTTCCACATTTAATACCTGCAGAGGCAATTTTCTTTGAAAGCAAAGTAGAGGAGGGTGGAGAAGCCAAGTAAGAGAGACAAATTTGATGGTTATTAAGTATGGAGCTTGTTCTACTACACGAAAGCAGGCAAGGAAGAATTGCCTAACAGGCAAGTGAAGAAAAAACAGCGGATTAGTAAAATGGAGAAGAAAGGGAAGAGATTCTCCAGCATGGATAAACAGAGAAATGTCATACTTCCCTCTGTGAGAGAGGACAAGGATGTTTTGTCAGTAAGGTAGTGTCAAATATTTGATAAGTCTGAGGAAAGATGAAGAAAAAGGACTTCTCTGGACTAGTAGGAGGGTTGATTTAACAATGGAAGGAAGAGTTCAGAGGCAAATCTGCGTTGCTCAGAATAAGTGCAAAATAAATGCTGCAAAGAACTGAAAATTGGTGAAATCATGCCACAAACAACCCAGGATTAATTATAAATAACAATTACATACTTTAATCCAGTGATAGCAAACTTTTTAGAGACCGAGTGCCTAAACTGCAACCCAAAACCTACTTATGCATCGTCGGGTGCCAGGTGGGTGTGGCCCATTGGGTAGGCGTGGCTGTGGTGGTAACAGCAGACTGGGCGGAACTAAAAAGTTTAATCAACCAATTCCAACTTTGCAAGATCTTTTTTTTTCCCCGCAAGAAGTTGAAATTGACTGATTGATTGAACCTTTTTTTTTTTTACATGGCGGTAGAGGCCTAAAGTGAAAAGGTTTTATAAAACCCAGCTGAAAGCCTAGGACTGGGGTGACAGTGCGCGTGCCCACAGAGATGGCTCTGAGTGCCGCCTCTGGCACATGTGCCATAGGTTTGCCACCACTGCTTTAATCTGTTAAAATGTGCCCCTTTCTCCATGTCTTGCAATAAAATTACAAATAGCAAAAGCTTCCACTCTGTGCTTTTTAATCTGCTTTTTTACCAACGTATTTAGATTAACTGTGAGTGAAGCTACTGAAGTGGAATTTAAATCCTCAGAGAAAGATACCTGTTCTGAGAAAACTAATACAAGAGTTCCCACAGAAAGAATGGACAGATGTTAGTTTACAACTACCACCAATCCCATCCATACAGGCAATGGCAGGGGATGCTGGGAATTATAATTCGTTGACATCAGCAGAATGATATAATTCTAGTTTGGTCAACGGGATGCAAAGCATCGAGATGGACAGTGGGAAACATTCAAAGGATTGCTGCCGAAATAGCAACCAGTTCTGAAGAATGTAAAGAGAAGAAACCCCTGCCTCTTTTTAAAATTCTTTTCAACTTACATAACAAGGTAAGGAAACTATGTAAAGGCTCTTAGGACTCAGTCGGTTAGTGCTAACTCACTGAAAACAACAGAAGAAGACCAAATTTAGCACAGTGGAAGAAAAATGGCAAAAACAAAAAAAAAGATAATGGATATGTCTGTGGGCTATGAAGAAAGCATTTTCTCTCCCCCCCCCCAAATTCCCCTTTTGCATTTCTATTTGTTTGTTTATTTTTCACATTTCTGTACTTTTCATTTTCTTCAAAGAGGGATTGTGGGTGGTATACAATAAAATGTTAAAATACAAAACAATATATTACTTTGATGCAAGGCGATATGGAATGTTCCCTCCCCAGCCTAGGAGTTGTGAGTAGTAGAGAAGTAATCAACCGTAGGAACTTAGAGCTTGAAAGTACATCTGACATGAGTGGTGCAAGGATCAACTGACCGGGCCCTGTGACGAGATCTATGAGCCGAATGCGGGTGCGGTTGCGCTCATAAGCAAGCTTCTCCACCCTCTGGCTTTTACACCCTGATGATGATGGCAGCAATACAGCCATCGAAAGCTCGGTTATTTATCTATTAAATACTTGATTGCTTTTACTTCCTGGTGGTCGTCTTTTATCCGTTAAGTGTATATATATATATATATATATATGTAGGTCTTTGGTTGTTCGGGTTTTCTCCCACGTAAAATTGGAAGTGTCTTGGCGACGTTTCGACGAAGTCCCATTCGTCATCTTCAGGCTGGTGCTTTCAGCTTCGTGCCTCGAGCTGCAGTGTGTGGTCTTGGCTGTTTCTTCCTTTTAACTGCCAGTGGAGGTATGAACTGATTGGGTGGGAGCTTGGCTGTGTTCTGATTGGGTGGAGGTGTGTTTTGATTGGTTAGGGGCTTGGCTGTGCTCTGATTGGCTGGGGGGTTGGCTGTGCTCTGATTGGCTGTGCTCTGATTGGCTGGGGGAGTGTTCTGTTTGGTTGTGCTCAGGTTAGTCTGAGTTGCAGAGGGATTCAAGATTTTGGGCTGCCCTGCCATTCCTTGGCTTCGTGTTCGTGGTCGTGCTTCCTCTTCATGGAGGGTGTCAGTTTGCTTCATGTATGGATTGGGGGGTTTAAAGTGGCTAATGATGCAGCTGTGGTCTGGCTTCTGGTTTGTGGTCGTGCCTCATAGTCAGTGTGGCTTTGGGTTTGTTTTTTGCATGGATGTTTGGTGGTGACATCCTGTGTGGTTTTTGTGAGTGTGGGTCTGGTATCATTTTTTGTGTTAGGGAGTCGTTTGTCAATAGGGCGGGTTTCCAAATGGCTGGTAGGCGGGAGGTATCATCTCGCTTGTTCATGCTGTGTGGGCGTTTTTCTATCTCGATGGCTTCTCTGATTATTCTGTTATTAAAATGTTCACTTTTGGCAATGGTTCTGGTATTTTTAAAGTCAATTTCATGTCCTGTGGCTTTAAGGTGTTGGACCAGGGAAGATGTTGGTTCCTCTTTTTTGACTGAGTTCTTATGTTCTTCAATGCGTGCACTTATTCTTCTGTTGGTTTGTCCGATGTATGTGGTGGGACAAGTGGTGCATGGGATTTCGTATACTCCTTGATTTTCTAATTCAATTTTATCTTTGGGGTTTCTAAGGATGGTGGATATTTTTCTGTTTGTGCAGAATGCTGTTTTGATGTTGTGTTTATGGAGGATCTTACTGATTCTGTCTGTGATGCCTTTTATGTATGGGAGGAGGGCTTTGCCGTTTTCTTGTTCTTTGTCTTGGATTTTAGTGGGGGTTTCTTTTTGGATTAGGTTTGTAATCTTATTTCTATGGAATCCATTGGATGTTAGTACATTGGTGAGAGTGTGTAGTTCGGGTTTTAGGTGTTGTTCGTCAGCTAAGCGTTTTGTTCTGGAGATGAGTGTCTTGGCTACAGAGTTGATCTGTGCTGGGTGGTGGTGTGAGAGAGCGTGCAGATAGCGGTTTGTGTGTGTTTTCTTCTGGTAGATGGTGTGTCCTAGGGAGCCATTGGATTTCTTGTAGACTAAGACATCCAGGAAGGGAAGTTGGTTGTTAGCTTCTGTTTCCATGGTGAACTGTATTTTGGGGTGTAGGCTGTTGAGGTGTGTGAGGAAGTTGTCCAGTTTTTCTTTCCCATGTGGCCAGATTATGAAGGTGTCGTCTACGTATCTGAGCCAGAGTTTGGGTTTGTGATCCGATTTTTCTAGAGCTTGGGTTTCAAAGTGTTCCATGTAGAGGTTGCAATGACAGGTGAGAGGGGTGATCCCATGGGTGCTCCTTCTGTTTGTTTGTATTTTTGTCCATTATAGATGAAGTATGTGTTGGATAGGCAGTGGTTGGTCAGATCTAAGATGTGTTTGGGGGGGTTATATTTGTTTTGGATAGCTGTCAAGGCTTCTTTGATAGGCACTTGGGTGAAGAGGGATATGACATCGAAGCTCACTAGTAGGTCGCTGGGCTGTAAGTTTTGTTTCTTTATGATCTCTATAAACTGGAATGAGTTTTTTACGTGTGAGGTGATGGATTCTGCATAGGGCTGTAGTTGTTTGGCGAGAAATTTGGCTAGGTTTTGTAGAGGTGAGCCTATGGAGCTGACTATAGGAATACCAGAACCATTGCCAAAAGTGAACATTTTAATAACAGAATAATCAGAGAAGCCATCGAGATAGAAAAACGCCCACACAGCATGAACAAGCGAGATGATACCTCCCGCCTACCAGCCATTTGGAAACCCGCCCTTATTGACAAACGACTCCCTAACACAAAAAATGATACCAGACCCACACTCACAAAAACCACACAGGATGTCACCACCAAACATCCACGCAAAAAACAAACCCAAAGCCACACTGACTATGAGGCACGACCACAAACCAGAAGCCAGACCACAGCTGCATCATTAGCCACTTTAA